AAAAAAAAAAAAAAAAAAAGAAGTATAACAAAACCCCAAGTAGTCAACAAGCCAAGATATGTAAAGAAACTTAATAGCTCTGACAGCTGTTCATCTCCAAAATCTCCATTGCCAGTGTTCATTTAAAGCAAAACTCAGTTTAATTACTGTTACCCAGCAGTACTGCTAGCCAGTATCTTCTAGCAACAGTACCTGTATTATCAAGAACATACTAACCACAAGCCCATCCCCAAATGCTGTTTTAAAAATAAAACCACAAGCCGGGCAGTAGTGGTGCACACCTTTAATCCCAGCACTCAGGAGGCAGAGGTAGGTGGATCTTTGTGAGTTCGAGGCCAGCCTGGTCTACAGAGCAAGATCCAGGAAAGGCACAAAGCTACACAGAGAAACCCTGTCTCAAAAAACAACAACAAAAAACTAAATAAAAATAAAACCACACACACACACCATCTCTTCATTAAACAGTGCTGTATTCACATCCTTATGTACTACACATGAAGCTACTAAATGAGAGCAAATGTTACTCCATTCAGGAGATTTTTTTTTTTTTTGCTAAGTGCCATGGCACTGTACTAGGCCATGAACTTTGTCAAGTGCTGTAACAAAAACGGAATGTACAGAATGTTATACGAATGCCTTAACATGAAGAACTCTGTACTGAGACAATAGAATTTTAATTCCTAAAGAGAGAGCAGAACTGGGATCCTGTCGCCAAGGTGGTTCTGAGCATCCCCTATTGACAGCCATCAACCTACCTGCAAGATTCCTCACTTCTCCCTCCCCTCTCTGGTGGGTCTGGTCTGACTGCTCTTCTCTCACACACTGGCTTCCCCAGCGTCCCTTAACAGGCCGGCCCTTGCACCTTCACTTTTGTTTTTCTCCTCAGACCCTCTGAAGTCACCTCTGGGACTTTGTTCAAATAATTTCTTCTAAGTAGGCATTTCACTATGAATCTATACTGCTTCCAAGTCCTCTCTTTGGGGGTGAGGGAAGTTTTTGCTAAAGCAAGCATCACCATCATGTAAATGCATTTTATAGTTTTACTTATTTCTCACAGTTGGCCCAGAAAGTAACCTCTAGTGAAAGAGGAATTTGTCTTTGTTCTTCTATATTGTGTCTGCAGTAAGTCTCTGACACAAAGTGATATGGCGCATAGATACACACTAAATACTGTAGCATAAAGTCCATATCTAAACTACTTTCCTATAACTTATCAACTCTATTTTCAAATCTATCCTCTCTATAGTACTCTAAACCACAAATACAAATTTTTCTTTGTCCCATCATTCCATGCTTCTACCAATTCCTACTGATTCTAACTCTTAAAAATATTTGTAATTTATAGATCTACATGTCAACTAGGAGTGTTTTATTATTAAATAATAAAATACTTTTTTGTTCATTATGTTTTACTATGTATCCCAGAATAGCCTAGAACTTACAATGTAACCAAGAGATGCCTCCAACTCTGGAACCTTTTGTCTTTCTTGGCCTCCTAAATACTGGGACTGCAAGAGTGAAGTCTAAGTCTCTAAGGTCTGAGTAATTATCAGAATCCCCATTTGCCCCCTTGCTTCACACTGCTGCTTGGGATCTTTCTAAAAATTAATTATGATCATATAAGTGGAAAGCCTAAAATCATTCACCAGTTCCCCAAAATGTTCGGGACTAAATCCAAAAGCATTAACACAGCACTTTAGGCCCTTTAGAATCTGATCCTTGCCAAACCGTGTAAGCAATGATACTTAACCCACGAAAACCTCTTATCTGCCACATACTTGTCTCCACATCCTAATCTCTTAAAATTCCTTTAATTCCCTGCCAACTTATAAATAACTCTGAAAGAATTTTAACTTTAATATCAGTGTAAGATTTCATTATTGGCCCTAATTCATCATCCACTTTCCTTTATAAAAACTGTATTTGGTAACTCAATATAACATTGTATGTAGGAATACATGTGTGTACATACATGTGCTTGTATGTGTGCAGGCAAATCAAAGTCAGGTGTCTTTTTCAACTGCTCTCTACCTTATTTTTGAGATGGGGTCTCCCACTGAACCTAGAGTTCATGGTTTGGCTAGAGTGGCTGGGCAGCAAGGCCCAGGGATCTTCGGGTCTCAGCCTCTACAGCACCAGGAACGCAGGCACACATTAGCATACCTGGCTTTTTATGTGCATAACAGGGAGCAAGCACTTTTGATGACTTGAGTCATCTCCACAATTCACTGAATAGCAAAATCTTCAATTTCTATAGTAAATACTTCCAAAAAATATTTGCAAGCATAAGCAATAACCTAAAATAGACATAGGTTCTTAAACTTTTTTTAAAAGACAGGTTTGGAAACCTGTATATATATCTTGGTATCAATGGATCTTCTAAACACTAACACTCTCTAAAATACTGCTTTCTATGGTGTTCACTTCTAAAAAGAAATATTAATAGGAAACAAATTACTTATTTTTGTTTTCGTTTTTTGAAACAGGGCTTCTTTATGTATCCCTGACTATCCTGGAACTCACTCTGTAGACCAGGCTGGCCTCAAACTCAGAGATCCACCTGCCTCTGCCTCCCTCCTGAATGCTGGGACAAAAGACATGAGCCACCACCGCCCAGCTAAATTATTTTTTCATAGTCAGCTTCAGCAAACTTAGTGAAAACATGTTTCAAAATAAACTAAAGAGGTACTAGGTATGTAACCCAGCGGTAAAATGGTATCTAACATGGACCAAGTGTCCATCATCAATACAAAACAAAAAGAAAAAGCATGAAGGCCATCTCTCAAATTCCCCAATAATCTATATCCAATGAGCATTGGGCCATTTAACTTTTTTAAATTACAGTTTACTTATTTAGTCTGTATGTGGTATGTGCACATGCATGTGCTTGTAGGAGTCAGAGGACAATTGGGAGATATCAGTTCTCTTCTTCCACATTAGCCTCTAAGATCAAACAAGCCATCAGGCTTGGTGGCAAGTGCTGCGCCATCACTCTGGCCTCTGTTAACTTTTAAGTTAGAAAAGGGAATTTGGCTTTCTAGTACAATGTAATAAACTAGCCTCCGATGAATCTCTGTGAAAAATTAATATTCCAAAGTGCAGAGAGTGCAGCACCGTTCCTATTTC